GTCATTCACTCAGTCACCTCAACAACCTCTGCCTTCTTTTGGTTTTTTTTCTAAANTGTCATTCACTCAGTCACCTCAACAACCTCTGCCTTCTTTTGGTTTTTTTCTAGGTGAGTTTTTTGTTACGCTGTTCTTCTTAGAATTCTCGTCTTTCTGACAGTCATTTGCAGAGATTTCAGGAAGCTGCTGACTGGCTAGATCCATTTCCACAGTTTTAATGTAAACTGATCCAGGCGTGACAGATCACTGCAATGTAACTTGTTTACAGTGCACCGAGCAAACAAATCTTTTCTCTACTTTACCTGCTACAAACTTCCTTTTTCACATTATCTCTCTCTAAACTTTGCCGAAGTTTCACAATGGCTCGTACCAAGAAAACTGCTCGCAAGTTTACCGGCTTCAAAATCGCCCAGCAAAATTTGAGTAAGTGGTCAAAGAAAAGTTCAGTTCAATCCTTGCACTTGCATCCTACTTTTCACCTGATTTGTCTTTGTCAATAATAGCCGCCAAGCCTGTTCGTATGTCAGCCCAGGTGACTGGTAGCGTGAAGAAGCCCATTCAATACCGTCCTGGAACTGTGGCCCTTTGTGACATCCGCCAATACCAGAAGTCCATCAAACTGCTTCTCCCCAAGCTTCCATTCAAGCGTCAGGTGATGGAGATTGCCCAAAACATCAGCGTTAAAGTGCGCTTTCAAGACATTGCCATTAATGGTTTGCAGGTAAAAAAGGCGCACAATACGGCAAATGCTGTGCCCAAAACAGGACTTACTCATTGACTCATTTGTTTTCTCTTCAGAAAGCCGCTGAACATCACCTGGTCGACTGTCTGAAGGACGCCAATCTGTGTGCCGCCCACGCCAAGCGCGTCACTCTCCAGTCCAAAGACATAAAACTGGCTTGCCGCATTTGAGGAGAGTGAGTGAGCGAGTGCCCAGGTGCTTTTATCACTTTTTCTTCCCATTGTTTTAAGCAGCTCGAAACAACACTGCATCTTTTTTACTCTTTGTTATCGACTTACACTGTATAACTGTTGAGATATGCCAAACACCAAACTACATCAGCACAAGCAATTAACTACAGCGTCTAATCTAAACTAGATGTACACTTACCAGTATATAACACAACTTGCAAAAATTACAACTAAAACCC